CAAAGCAGAAGAGAGACGAAAGCATTATCACAATTCTCCTTCTGCGTTCATCCTCAAAAAGGTGGCTGGCAGGTTGTGGTTTACAGCTAGGCTGAATATCTGTGCCTTTCAGCACAACATACCAGATTTTAGCAAACTCTCTAATTAGTCACATGCTTATTAAGGTAAAGGACAGTGGATCTATCCCCCTTCCCCCTCTCTCCATATACACAAAATGTTGGACCCTGGAACTCAAAAAAGAAGGATTATCATCTACAGATTTGAAAACGTAAAAGTGTGAGCAGCTTAAGGGCTGAAATACTTTATGATGATGATAATAATGATGTAAAAGAGTAATGTAAATTTAGAACTAGCAAATGAACTTTGACTTACCTCTCAGCCGACCTGTGAAGCTCGCCACCAGAACATCCACCAACAGCATACAGCATGTTATCCAGTACCCCAACACCAACGCGATTTCTGGCCACACCCATAGGTGTCTTGCTGTTCCACATATTCTCCTCTGGGCTATAAGCATCCACAGAACATGAGTCCACACTCTGTCCACACCTCATGATTCTGCCTCCCACAACATAGATAAGACCTAACATTGATGCTACTCCAGGACCACACCTGGGACTAGGTAGTTCTGGAAGACGTGTCCATTCTTTACTCTTGGGATTGTAGCATTCAAAAGATTTGAGAGAGTCCATGACTTTACGATAGAAACCTCCCACGGTGTAAATGACCAAGGGTTTACAGGGTTTTCTGGGCTGATCTGTGCACTCCCCGTGCTGTTTCAGTGCACGGAGTTTGGTCAGCAGCAACTTGACACAGTTGGGGAGCTGTTTGATAATGTAGCACTTCTCCAGCTGATCTTCAAGGAAGCACGGTGCAAGTCTGGTCAGCCGGACCTTCTCCAGGAGGTCTTCCAGTTGAGAGAGGCGAGTGTCGGCATCATGCTCCACCCATCTTACAACAGCTTGAAAGACCTCGCTCTCACATCTAGTCAGATATTGATGATAAAATATTAGTTTAGATATACAGTTGGCTGAATACAACTACATGTTGCTATTAGAATTTTAACTCACAAGGATAGACTGTCCAAGATTTGCAGGAGTGTGAGGAAATGAAAGAGCGGATTTTTTAAAGTGACAGCTACAGAAACACTCTTACCACGACAAAGGAGACATTCTGAGCACCATTAAGGAACGAATACTGACAGAAGATACAATATTAGATAAAATAACATGTTAAAGAATGTGAATGGAGAATTAGGTGTCGATCGGGCAAGGAGGGATGTATGAGAGGAAGAAAACGAAATATGTGTACTACAGGAACAAACAATTAGCATCTGCATGTGCTGAGGCACACAGAGGGCCTATGGATATGGCCGGTGTGCTATGATGTTGATTCTTAAATCAGTAAATTATAATTTTAACAAATTGTCACAAATGAAGGAGTATGTAAAACCGCATATACATGAATTCACTTGTTTTATGTGGAGTTGAGTCAAAAGTTGACATCACAGTACTCGAAGCATTCTCATATGCAATCACTTCCCATCTTCAGCAGCCAGTGCAGAGTTGCAATACTAATGGTACTGGTTGTAGTTTGGTTATATGACTATCTTGCCTTTCCTCTGATTGTAGTGAGCCGGCCGGACCCTTTGGTCACACCCAGGTACATCATTCTCTCCAGGCCATAATAGTTTAGTTACTTTTTCCCAAAGGACCTTGACCATATCAGCCTTGTCATGTATCAATTTATCACCCAGTGGTTCATACCTGTCCGTCTGTTCATTCTCCACCACACCGGCATGGCCTGGAGAAAAAATTCCAAAGTATGCTTCCTACCTATGACATTCCAAGTGAAGCTTTGCTCGAAGCCTCACCTTTCTCAGCATGCTTTCAGAGTCTGTTACAATTATGACATGCGTGTGCATCTTGTTCTCTAGCCACTGGAAAGCTGCAGTGACTCATGTAAGAAAAACTTGGTTGAGATAAACCAAAATTCAATTCCTGCAGGGATTTATAACTTTGAGTCCCTTGATTAGCAAAACTTATTAATTTTTTTTTTAACAATCTCTTGATGTTTAATCCCTTGGAATCGATGTTAATAAGGTTTTACTGCAGTTTGGGTTCAGGTATAAAAGAAAAATATCAAATAATTAATAAACCAAAAAAAAGTAAGTAAATGACCCTTTTAAAGCCAGTGGCATATGAGGCTTTTTAAGCCAGTCATACTTCTATAGTAAACAACTGGTGTTCGATGGGTAATGCAGTTACATCACTTCCCAGGACATTACCTGATATCAATGTCAGACTGGGATGATATGGATACCAAAGTAAATTTAGGTGGAAAATGCACACTAGAAACCAAAATATTCAAGTCAGCAGACGCCTCGCTCCCTACTTCAGCTCCCATTTGTCTAATATAAAATTTAATTAATAAAAATAGAGACAAAAAGACAAGTTATAATTACAATTTTTATAAAGACTTTAGGTTACCAGTGTTATTAGTATAGAAAACTAACCACCTGTGAGATTAGATGTTTGAGAAGGGCTATGAATAAAATCAGAAGAAATCAAGTGAGAAACAACATGATCAACAGAACTGTTGCAACAACATCCATCATAAAATTTATTAAAATATAAAGAACCAAATGGTTTGGCCACCTAATGAGAATGAAACCAATGAAGCCACTAGTAAGAGCGTACAACCTGAAAATCAAAGCACCAAGATGCAGGGGAAGACCGAGAAGATGACGGGACTGTCATATCCTGTATTTCCACTGTCAAACCAACACAAGAATTCTTTTCTACTGGATTTCAAAAGCAGTGCATCCACATCACTGATAAGAATGAGCAAAGTGGGAGTAAAGAGCACACCGGAGATGTGGGAGGCCATATCAACCAACACAAGACTGCACTATTAACAAATATTCACTGTTGTATATCTACAACGATGAGTCTGAGTCCTAGGGACACATCCAAAGTGCCATGTAAATAAGCTAACACATAACTCATAGAGTAGGTGACTACTGTATGGAGTGGGATAACTAGCTCTCTTCTCTGTCCCCCTTGTCTCACCACAAAAATAGTAAGTATTTATTGAATGAAGTCGAGGTTACTATAAAGCTATATGAAACAAGAAAAATAAAACTATATCTGTGAATGAACAGTATTTGAAATACAGTGTACTAACTGTACACTAATAAAAACTTGTAAAGTAAAAGTAAAGAAAAAGAGCTTTTTTTTAATGCACTAAATGCATTTTGGGCATATAGTGCTGGACCTATATTTTATAGATTAAGCAGCATTCGGTGGGTGATGTGGTCAACATTTCAGTGGCTGCCTTTACTTCCCATAGTGTGTGATCTGTTCAACATTAGACTGGCTGCCTTTACTTCCCATAGTGTGTGATCTGTTCAACATTAGACTGGCTGCCTTTACTTCCCATAGTGTGTGATCTGTTCAACATTAGACTGGCTGCCTTTACTTCCCATAGTGTGTGATCTGTTCAACATTAGACTGGCTGCCTTTACTTCCCATAGTGTGTGATCTGTTCAACATTAGACTGGCTGCCTTTACTTCCCATAGTGTGTGATCTGTTCAACATTAGACTGGCTGCCTTTACTTCCCATAGTGTGTTATCTGTTCAACATTAGACTGGCTGCCTTTACTTCCCATAGTGTGTGATCTGTTCAACATTAGACTGGCTGCCTTTACTTCCCATAGTGTGTGATCTGTTCAACATTAGACTGGCTGCCTTTACTTCCCATAGTGTGTGATCTGTTCAACATTAGACTGGCTGCCTTTACTTCCCATGACTTTACATGCTATATATTTAAAGCTATGTCAACTTGGGAGCCAAGGTCATGTTGTGGAGAAATATTCCTGCTCCATGCAGATTTGAATTTACAGCCTTCAGATCTGCAGGTGAGCATCTAGCCACTACACCAGGGTGGATCCCCATAAAACACTTCTCCTTGTGTACTTTACATCTGAAATATTTAATTAATTTTTAGTATACTGAGAATAAGTCAGCAGAAGATTAAAAAAACAATAAGGTGACATATCATGAAAATATTTAGACAGATAATGACCAAGCAGGCACTGAAATGAGAAACAAATGGAATGACTAAATGAGTACATCCAAAATAAACTCTAAGACAAATATCTTATTAGAAAAACAAATGAGGAAAGGAGGAAAGAGTTAGTTTTCAACAGTAAATGTTTACCTGACCTGATATTGAGCTCATCCTGCTGGACAATGTTGACAACATCTTGTGCATCTAACGTCAGAAACTCATCATGCTTGATCAGCTCACAGAAGTGTTCATAAATGTACTTCTTGGCCTTAGCCTCCAACTCTAAACAGCCATGCACACTGGCAAAATTTGCAAATCCTATGCAGTTTGTAGGATCCAGCTGCTTTTCTAAGAACAATGTGCAGGCCTCCACCACATGACGCATTTCCAGAAACATGGCTGTGATTAGAAGAGCCTGAACATTTTGTTGGGTGACATGTATCTCATAGGTGTAGGCAAAGTCTGCTAACAACCTTACTGCCTCTGCAGTTATGCTGGGCTCCTGAATCTCCACTTCACACAAACCGGCTTCTTTCATACCATGAGTAAACATGGCTTGAAAATACGGACTGCATGCTGCCAGGACAATTTTGTGAGCTCTGATCTGCTGCCCTGCTACACACAATGTAATGTCACAAAGAGCTCCATTCTGCCGGAACTGATGCATGGCGGCCAAGGCTTCTTCTGGGTATCGAGGGATCGTGAACTTCATGCTGCCATCTTGAGACATCTCTGTCAGCTTGGGCCGGACCATGTAGATGGAGCTTGGCAGCTTGGACAGCTGAAAAAGCTCGCTTTCCTTTAAACCCAGAAATGCTGCCTCTGACTGATGCCCATTGTGAGCTCCAGGCAATCTCGGTTCTTGACTGCTGGATGATGATGTGCTTGGCTGGTTCCAACATGGTACAGGGATCTTTCTTGAAGCCATTGATGAGGTTGCAATGTCCTAAACAATTTGTCTGAAAACCCCAGTGGCTGTACAAATCCATCACTCTAAAGGTAAAAATGAAACACCATTAATAAGTCACGCGCAAAATTAAAAAAAAAAAAAAACACATATCTTTCCGTGTGAAAGGGTCGTCTGCCCCCCCCCCCCCCACAAAAAATGGGCTGCGACCGGCAGGTTGAGAGCCGCTGGTTAAACAGATCTGACTCAGTTGTGTGCAGACTGTTGATTCCGTGCCTCACAGACATATGTCTCCAAATTCGAACGAAGCTCCCAATTAGTGAACTCTTACGACATACTTTTGGGTACGCAGTGGGTCTATTCTTGTTTTCACCACAATAGCACCCACGGACTCCACACGGGGAATACTCATTTCAATACTGGATACGTACTCTTATCAATTCCGTCAGTCAGTAGCATGCCATTTGCAGAACCGTGCTCTCATAACAAGCCTCCAGAAAACTTCTCGATAACAAGCAAGATGCCCCACGTCCGATGCACTTATCTGGAGATCATCCGCCACATCTTCTCTTTGGCCGTCCTCTTCCTCTCTTCCCAAGCTTTCGTGACGTTTCAAATGACCAAAATATTTCGATTTTCCGTGTTTCATAGTCTTTAATAGCCGACCTTCTTCACTAATCAGTTCTTGAAGTATGGATGCATTTATTCTATTTTTATTAATACCCATGATATTCTTAGAGCCCACCTATAATAGTAGTTTTCAAAGGCATTTATGGGCTGTTCAGCTTGTTTAGTAATTGTCCAGGTCTCACAGGCGTATGTTGTAATGGGAAAGATGCATGCTTTTAGAAATCTAATGTTTGCAGTTCTGTCTGCCGCACTTCATAACCATAGCAGCTTATCAATTACCTTTACGGAATATAACTTTATGCAGGACATTTTTTTAAGGAAATAAAATGAAAGGTGCCGGTGTTGACCACTAAGTGTCTAAAAAGGAGGTACCCTTACTCACCACAGGGCATAAATTACAGTAACGCTGAAAAATATTGCCTGTAAAAGGTGTCAGTACTGCGAACCGTTGCAAACTGTCAGACGGAAAAAAGCCCTGAGTTTACATTTATTCCAACACATACAATTTATTACACACTAGAAAACAAACGCTAGATTATTACTAGTTCCGTTCAAACGAGTTACCTTAGATTACCAGGCACTAGAAACACAAATCATAACACAGTGACAATGTTCGTTTTTGTTACAATGACGCAGCAGAACGTTCCTGGGTCAAGGATAGATTATATTTTGTGTGTTCTCTAGGTATCTATCTTATCGGACATGTAACGTGGGTTGCACATTGGCAATGCAGGTTTAGGTCGGGCGTCCGCCAGATCTTTGAACGGTCCTACCTATCGAAGAAGTCAGTCGAGATGCTAGACAAGCAGCTTAGATACGCTTACAAAAGGTTACACAGTAGTAGAAAAAGGTCACTTGCACACAAACTTACAATGAGTTCGAATTATGAGAAATGTAATAATTTATATCATAATCAATAGCATACAATTTACTAATATTTATACCCATATAACAATTGGCATCATAAGGAAAAGTACAGCAGATGGTTATAAAAGGATAATACTGCACCTCATCTAAATAGATAATCGTGCACCTAGTTTTGAAGAGAAAACACGGCGCATTCATAAACGGAAAACAGTTCATTGAGCCAAAAATGGATATCATTGCATCTCGTTACAAGTGGATAGCCATGAGCACCATTAGGATCGAATAACACCGAACGATGTCACAAATGGAGAACACTCCACACAGTTTTATATGAATAACACTCCACACAGTTTTATATAGATAACACTCCACATAGTTTTATATGGATAACACTCCACACAGTTTTATATGGATAACACTCTACATAGTTTTATATGGATAACACTCCACGTAGTTTTATATGGATAACACTCTACAGTTTTATATGGATAACACTCCATATAGTTTGATATGGATAACACTGCGCATAGTTGTATATGGATAACACGGCACATAGCTACAAACGAATACCTCTTAGCAACGTCAATAAAAGACAACACCTAACATCGTCATTAATGCATAATAATTTAAATCGACATAAGTGAATAATACTTTAAATCGTTGACAGCGGTGTGACACTTTGCGGTCATTTCTTTTAAAGTTTAACTTTCACACACCCTTATGACCAGAATAAAACAATAACATAAAGTATTATCCATGCATGACAATGTTAACGCCTACTTCACACTCACAAACACACACACAATTATAAATAAGTGCACAATTTGACGTCATTATGAAAAGTGTAACACTTCGCGTCATTATGAAAAGTATAACACTTCGCGTCATCGTGAAATGCATAACATGAAAAGTACAAGGTCCGACAATTAATTATAAGACAATGGGTTGATGTTTTTGGTTATCAGACAACGAATGTGGTACAAACCGGCAGGGAACATTTTTCTTGCCAGGATCTTGCACTAAAATCTTTTGAATGGTCTCTCTATTAACACCAGATTCATCTGCGATCATCCTCACATTAAAACAATTATCTTCGTGTATCCGCTCTCTCATTTTTGCAATGAGTTCATCATTACGAACAAAAATTTGGCGTCCAGGTCTAGGTGCATTAGTAATCATTTCCACACCACTTTTAAATTGTGAATACCTCCTGAAAATATGTGCAGGAGATAAATAATTATCCCCATAAAGTTGTTGCATCAATTCAACTGTTTCAATGGCGCTTTTTCTAAGTTTTAACAAGAATTTAATGTTAGCGTTTTGCACTGTGCTGATTACGTAACAATGCATCTCTGACTATGTCAAAACAATGGCGGCTTGTTTATTGTCTGTTTATCGAGCGGCGATGAAAAGTTGCCAGATCATAGATGAATGTTGCCTCTTTAGACTCCATGCTTTGCTTCATATATGACATTTTTGTCTTGGCCATAATAAAATCAGTCTCATTACTTAATTGTCGGACCTTGTATAACACTTCCTGTCATTATGAAAAGTATAACCTTTAGCGTCATCGTAAAAAGTACAACACTTCGCGTCATCCTGAAAAATATAACACCTCACGTCCTCATGAAAAGTATACATTTCTTGCATCATGAAAAAAAGTATAACCCTTTGCGTCATCGTGAAAAGTTAACCCTTCGCGTCACCGTGAAAAGTATAACACTTCATGTCATCATGAAAAGTATAATACTTCGCGTCACCATAAAAATTATAACACTTAGCGTCATTGTGAAATGTATAACACTTCGCGTCACTGTAAAAAGTATAACACTTCACGTCACTTTGAAAAGTAAAACACTTCACTTCGTCATGAAGAAGATCTTGTAACCAAATGAGTATGATAAATTAAGAACACAAGTACCAGGCATTGGTTTAAAATACAATGGCCAACATGTCGAATAATAAAAGACATATGTCGCAATCATCACCCAGAAATGTTGAAGCGGATACTGAATATTTAAAAAGGGGAGAAAAGACGTCACGACAGTTTAAAATAGGTAAAAGGGTATCCTCGATGCCATTAGAAACAACAGGAGGGTAGAAAACAGCATTGTTTATTCAACAGAACTCGGAAAACACAGGCGATACAAAAGTAGCCATGATAGGATACAAGAAGTAAGAGACCTTTTTCCACGCCTTTAGGCGTATAGGGCATATAGGGCTAGACCTATATTTTTTTATTAATCGGCACAATATGGGTGATGTGGTCAGCATCCGGGACTGCACCCGGTACCCACTCAAGGCTGGGTCAACCTAGGAGCCAAGGTCATTTTTGAAAAAAAAAGTCCTTCTCCACCAGGGAGCGAACCCACGACCTTCCGATCCGCGGCGAGCGTCTAGCAGCTCCGCCACAGCGACTCCACAAGAGACTATGGATGGACAAAGAAAACAAAGGAGCTGGGGAGGGGGTGCTTAGCCTTTACATACATACTAGGAAAGCCGCTAAATGGCCTAAGTCTTAATCCACGTTGAAGTATACAATAATAATATGTTGAATGGTCAATAAATATAGTCCTATGTTTAAAGTCATATAAAGTATATAAAAAAATACGGTACTTTTTTTTTTTTTTGGTTCAACCCATCTCGGGGATTCCGAAATTTCGTGGGGCATTCCCAGGAAAGCCTAATATTGTAGGAATAAGTGAAAGGAGTTAGGTACCAAATGGTCTAAGTCTTAATCCATGTTAAAGTGTACAAAATAATATGCTGAATGGTAAATATAGTCATATGTTTGGAGTCATAAAAAGTATATAAACGAATATTGTACTTTTCTTTTCTTTTTTACCCATCTCGTGGACTCCGAGATTTCGTGGAGAGTTCCCGGGAAAGGCTAATATTGTAGGAAAAGGGGAAAGGAGTTAGGGTTAGTCGGCGTTCATTTCACACACTACACCTCTATACTGTTGCACTTCGGGGTCGCCGAGATAGGCTGAACAAAAAGAAAAGGACCAGGAATATTTTAAAAAAAACTTACAGAAAGGTTAAACGGCGCTTAGCGCCCAAGCCACCAACATCCCAAGGTTTTCAGATTCTCATGCACATGCACCCCGACTTTAAAAGAAACAGTGATCCTATCTATGCTGGCCAAGTCCCAGATGGGAACCGGCTTCTCGAATGACCACGACGAGAGGTAGATAGGCACGGTTTGACCAGTATGAGCTCTGGTGCTAATGCATCAGGACGTGTGATTCAGTACATGTGCATCCCAAGGACGAACTCAAAAGAAGAAGTTTCCTAATTTTTAACCAAAGTGGCAAACTTTGATAAGAATGGGTTGACAGCAGCATCCAGCTGTCCCGTGTCACAAAACTACCGTATCTTGGCTGCACACTCCAGGACACGTCCAGGTGAAAGGAAATGGCAGACCCAACAGACTGACTGTGTTTGCAGTAATTAGTGGAAGGCGAAATATGGACAGGGCAGACATAGTGAATAAGCTACGTCCCAGAGACGTTGAGATAAAG